AAACGTTTCTCTCATTGAAACGTCCACATGAACAGAATCAACCTTACCTGGATGATTGAGCATCAAGACGTCTCCTAGTTCTGTCCAACACAACCTGAATAAAACCGAGTGCAGCACTTCGGTCATTTCTCTACAACAAATATACCAACAGGTAATCAGATGTAGCACTCAGCACTGGATCCTTCAGCCTGCGATAAACATGACATGAAACTACATCGATGTAAAGGCTAACGTGATGCTAACAGCACCGTGTGACTGACAGTGGAGCTCAGGTGAAACAGGTTCTGCTGACAGGTGTGTAGGATGATCACAGATGTTTGTGATGCTGCACATGATACTGTTTCTGTAATAGTCCACATTTGCTTTCAACGCCATCACACTTGTTTCATTCACGCAGTCGACTTTATGACGCAGTAGTTCAGTGTGTTGGTCCAGCTGTAGACGATGAGTCACCATCAGCAGATGGAGCGTGTTGCAGAGCGTCACTAGAAACTGAGTAAATATTGAAAGAAGGTGTGTGTGTCCAACAATAAGACGACATTCATTTCTTACATTTATTCATACACTTGATCCTTGACTAAACACAGACTGTAACGGGGAACAGTCACTCAGCAAAACCAATAAATAATGAGTTTAACTGACAGAACCAAATAATTTAGCTTCACTTTGAGAGATTTTTAGATTATTGTAAAGATGGATGATCCTCAGGATTATCAGCCTGTGTAAAACTACAGGATGACATGCAGGTGATACCCCAGAGGCAGAAACACTCATCTGTGGGAGGAGCTGGGTCTGCTGGGAGTCACGCTGGGGGCCACCGTGGGTTTGACTTAGAAAAGTACCAACTTTAACAACTTATTCACAAAGCAGAGAACTTCCTCTAGAACACACAAACGCATCAGTACAGAGGGCTCAGTCACTGATGTATTCCTCTATGGTCAGGTCTTCGTCCTCCAGGAGGACTTGATTTAAGGTGGGCTGGGGTTGGCTGGCTGGCAGACCCTCCTCAGCACCACCTGCCTCTTTCACCTCCTCCTCCACCTCACTGTCCATTTCCAGCTCGCCTGATTCTTTGTCTGTCAGAGCCTCTGGTTTTAATCTGGACACACAAGAGCAAACCACAGATCAGAGGTCAAAGATCAGGTTAAAACGTAAGGTCACTGACACGGGACACCACTATGATGTGTTACAGTATCCACAGCAACAGCCAACAGGAGCACAACTAGAACTTTAAAGAGACAAAAGAAGAAAACATTGTAACAATAGCAATATGAACACTGCAGTAGCTGTAGAAGAACTAACAAAGTTCTGTTAGCATTGTTACTGTTCTGTCAGAATACTTTGTTACTTTGTTAAAACAACAGAAACATTTGTTCTTCGGTCTGATCACAGTTATGACCTCAGCCTGTTGTAGCCACACAAACAGCTGATAAAACAAGCACCACGTCCAACCTACAGACACGTTCCAGGAAACTAAAGAAAGATCAGCAACAAGGACCAAACAGCTGAAAGAAAACAGTCATCCAACCCTCAGTCTAATTACTGCTGCTCTACCTGCTCCCCTACACCTGTGTAGTGACAATAAAGACTGTTCTGTAATTTGACAGTAAACAACAGAGTGTGGTACCTGCTGGAGAATCTCCTCAGTGACATCTGCCCCACATCCTGGATAAATGTTATTTGGTCTGTAGGAACAGAGCAGCACAGACATGAGTCCACAGCTGTGCTCATTAACATCATTATCATCATGTCAGGTATGTGAGTGACACCTAAATTCACTGCAACAACTACCATTGACTCCACATATGATTCTCACAGTAGTGATGCTCTGAGCTCTGAGGCCACACAGCTGTACTGTCTGTGTCACTGTGAGAACATCAGGAATCATTTTCACACGAGTCACAAAAACTATTAAATAAATCACACTGAGTTATGGAAACGGTGACGTGATGTATTAAAGGTGCTCAGCACACCAGCCCAGCAGTGAGCCTGCACTGACGAGCTCACAGCCAACAGTGACAGGTGGGAACAACAAAC